TCAAGGTACATGCCCTTGACCGGAATCCAACCTGGGACCCTTCAGTCCGCAGGCTGACGCTCTATCCACTGAGCCAAACCGGTTAGGGCGGCACGCTCATATTTTGTTATGTGTTTCTGACATATTTAAAAGGTAATTACAGCCCAGCCGGCGTGGCTCAGTGGTTGGGTGTCAACCTATGAACCTGTTGGTCACCTCAATTCCTGATCAGGCAGGGCACATGCCCGGGTTGTGGGCTTGGTCCCCAATGTGGGGCGTGTAGCTGATCAGTGATTCTCTCTCATCATTGATGTTTCTTTCTCTCTCTCCCTCTCCCTTCCTCTCTGAAATCAATAAAAAATATATGTATATGTGTGTATATATATATATATATATATTTTTTAAAGGTAATTACAGACATCATGATGTTTTGCCTTTAAATATTTTGTCATGTGTTTCTCAAAACTATGGCGATTTTCACTCCCAACAGCAATTCTACATTCATACTTCAAACTAACAATGATTTCCTAATGTTCTGTAATCCCACTGTTTCCTAATTTCCCCCAAACAGTCTCCCTCGGTCAGTTCAAACTAGGATCTAATCGAGATACCAGACCCGAATTTGATTTTTAGTTCTCATACATCTCCCTTAATCTGGAAGATTTGCCGCCTTTATTCCAGGGCATTGGCTTTCGCCAGCTGTTTATTATTTAAAGTTTCAAACGCAGAGATAACTTCCCAGAGCGGTGAGGTAGCGCCCGGATGCCTCTGCTGCTGCATCGTGCCCTTCCTCACGCGCTCTCAGACAGTCGCTGCATTACTTGAAGATAAGTAACATCAGAACACTCCCCCACCCTGCAATATTTCCACACACGTCTCCCAGGAACGCAGTATAGAACCTCAGTGCCCTCATCATACCTCAGAAGATTCAAAACAGCCTAACAGTGTCATTTGCAATCCAGGCACCAAACTGCCCCAGTTTGTCCATAGCATTATTTTATGGCTTAACAAAATGGAGTACAATCTAGGACCACAAATATTTTCTTAGTCTGGAATAGTCTCCCCAGTCCCCCGCCACCCTCCCTCCCAGTACCTGCTTGTTTTTAATCTTCTTTGGAGGATATTTTTCTATGATCTTTAGAAAGAGAGAGGGAGAAACATCGATGTGAGAGAAACACATCAACTGGTTGCCTCTCGCATACATCCTGACCAGGGCCAGGGATGGAACCTGCAGCTCAGGTACGTGCCCTTGACCGGAAATCGAATCCAAGACCCTTCAGTCCAACTCTCTAACCACTGAGCCATACCGGCCAGGGCCCCACTCACTGCCTGCTGTTGAATCGCAGTATAGAACCTCAGTGCCCTCATCATACCTCAGAAGATTCAAAACAGCCTAACAGTGTCATTTGCAATCCAGGCACCAAACTGCCCCAGTTGTCCATAGCATTATTTTTATGGCTTAACAAAATGCAGTACAATCTAGGACCACAAGTATTTTCTTAGTCTGGAATAGTCTCCCCAGTCCCCCGCCACCCTCCCTCCCAGTACCTGCTTGTTTTTAATCTTCTTTGGAGGATATTTTTCTATGATCTTTAGAAAGAGAGAGGGAGAAACATCGATGTGAGAGAAACACATCAACTGGTTGCCTCTCGCATACATCCTGACCAGGGCCAGGGATGGAACCTGCAGCTCAGGTACGTGCCCTTGACCGGAAATCGAATCCAAGACCCTTCAGTCCAACTCTCTAACCACTGAGCCATACCGGCCAGGGCCCCACTCACTGCCTGCTGTTGAATGCCTGATAGATTTGGTGCAGCATTTCTGCTGGAACATGTGGCAACTGTTCTGTCCACGGGGTTGCCTCACCTCGCAGGGAAAGGTGGCTGTGGGGATCGTGTGAGCTTGTGGTTAGCGTCTGTCTATCTCAGGCACTCAGTCCGCTCCGTGGGAGCGCTGGGTGTCAGGGTGTCTCCGGGGAAGGTTCCTGGAACTTTGTCTGTGAGGAACCTAAACAGCATCGGTGCTGCAGAAGGGGAAACTGAGGCTCGCAGGGTGGGGCCGCTTGCCCAGAGGTGTCAGAGCGCAGCAGGACGAGCGCCCAGGTGTGGAGTCGGGTCCTCTCGGCATCTCTCCCACCT